TGGCCTCAGCAAGCTTACAAATCACTTAAAAGGCAAGATTGTGACTGCTCTGTAGAGAGAGAAATGAAGATTAATGAAGAATGGCCTGGTTAGAGAAGGCTCAGCCAAGATGAAATGCAAGTGAGATGCGGAAGGATGCCAAAGTCTAGTCTAAGAAGAAGCAAAGGCAATACCTATACACAGAATTATATCATTGCCTCTGGCCTCAGCAAGCTTACAAATCACTTAAAAGGCAAGATTGTGACTGCTCTGTAGAGAGAGAAATGAAGATTAATGAAGAATGGCCTGGTTAGAGAAGGCTCAGCCAAGATGAAATGCAAGTGAGATGCGGAAGGATGCCAAAGTCTAGTCTAAGAAGAAGCAAAGGCAGTGGGGGGCGGGGGTAGGGGGTGTAGGGGAGCTCATGAGAAGGCAAGAGTGTGTATGTGGAAATAGAGAAGGCTCAGCCAAGATGAAATGCAAGTGAGATGCGGAAGGATGCCAAAGTCTAGTCTAAGAAGAAGCAAAGGCAGTGGGGGGCGGGGGTAGGGGGTGTAGGGGAGCTCATGAGAAGGCAAGAGTGTGTTCATGTGGAAATCTGGTGAGAAGAAGCAGAGTTTGCCACCCCAAAACGTGCCTTCTTGGGATATTCATTATTTTAAGCCAATTATTTTTAAGAAACAAAAGGACTCAGAGTCTTTGAACCTCCCCTTTAACATGCCTAAAGGAATTCAGATAGAAAAACCCGCTTAAAGGAAAGGAGCATCACCTTGGCATCATAAAATGATCTAAGTATGGCAGATAGGCAGAAGCTAAGAAAGGCTGTCAGACTCCCCTCTGTGTCCCATTGTTGTGAGTGGCTCAGCCACAATTTGCTTACCAAATGTTTGCTCTTTCTCATCTGCTTGTGAATCTACTTTCCCTTTGAAACCCCAGTCCCCTGCCTCCTTCTCCTTAGTCCAGAATGGTATATTAGTCTCAACTGCCTGATATAGCCTGGGGTCCCATGTTCTTAGGAAAACCCCATATGTACATATGTAGTACATTTAGTTATTTTCTCCTGTTCATCTATTTCATGTTCATTTGATTATGAGACCAGCTAAAAAAACTTAGGAGTTAAAAAAATTTTTCCTACCCACACTGGAAAACAATAAAAGAGAAGAGGATAAGTTGTCTATGCAGCACTTAGCATGGGGCCATAAATATGAGAAGCACTCAGTAAATAAAGATAAAAAAAGAAGTTGGGTCTTAACTAAGCAGAGAACTTTTCTCAGTCTCGTCAATCAGATAATCACTGGGTTTCCTGTAGAAGGCAGAAGTTTCTTCCCCAGTTCTTCCCCAAGAAGTAAAACTGTCAGAATAAGTTCCTATTTTGTCAATAGGAATTGTAATTTTTTTTTTACTAAGGCGGCCATTGAAAATTTTTTAATATGAATATGAAAGCGGTGTTTATGGAAAATTATCTCGCCATGGTATGTGGTTTAGGTTAGAAGGAAATGAGAATAATGTTAGTGAATACAGCTAGAACTCAGGTGCATCTGGAAAGTAAGGGAAAATGAGGGCTAGTAAGGAAGTTTTCAGTGAGTAAGAGAAAAATGGTTACATAAAAGAGTAATTACATAGTTCAATTGTTAGGACACAATAATCAATAAGATGAAAAGTGGATGAAAGTATACCAGATTTTACTCTATGATTTAAAATCAGAGGAACTCTGAGAAGATGTTGTTAGTGACAGAAATAGCAATGAGGGTGCAGCGATGGAAGCAGAACCCTAGGAGAGGTCAGATTCTGTGGTCACAACGAGAAGAAAAGGAGGGTTTGTCCTGCTCATGCTCCTGCTCAGGTTCCTGCTCATTCTGTCTGTCCTCTGCCATCAGGTCGTAGCCCGAAGTGCTACACCTATCTAAACATAGGTGATAGCTACGCTGACATCTGCAATTGTTAACATAATTTTTATGCATGTCTTCATTCAAAGCCCAGACATAAACGTTTTACCAGTGTTGGAGGTTTGATAATTGCATAATTGCAATTTCAACTATGTTTCAAAAGCCCAGGGGAGAAGGAGCTACAGAATAATTGCAGTCAGAAGGGTCTTTGTGACAAAAAATGATGGGACAAGTTCGTCAGGGAAAACTGCTGGCAACCCCTTTGCTGGAACCTTTTTCTCTAAGTCAACACCAGGAGGGCTTCTCCTCAGCCCCCTGTTTCTAGGTATTCCTTATATCCTTTGCTGCTGTGTTTCAAAAGCTTTATATTATCCAACTGGATCCTGTTAGGAAAGACTAAAACTAGTTTGAGCAACTTAGATAAGAGACTCAAACTTTGAAAGCCAGTCCTGTTTGCAGACAAAGCCCATTTGAGGGAAGAAGTTTAAGAGTGAATCACATGTGATTTGAACTAGGTTACATGCTTCTTCCTCTGCTCTTTGCAGGACAACTTGACTAGATTCTCTTGCAATCCTCAGTTATTTCCCCTCTGGCTGCTTGGATGTAGTTAAATAGTATGATTGGTACTTTTAGGGCAGAATGGGACAGAGGTAGGTTTTTTTCAACTCTCTCTCTCACAGGGAATGCTTTCATCTTCTCCCCTCATGGCCACAGTGTTGCCATGTAGGCATGATTTGATGTTACAGATGTAACATTGATACGGTGAGGGGCAATAAGATTCTTAATGCAGTGATTGGAATGATTGTAACATTCTCAACTAGAAGGTGTCTGGCAGAGCCAGAGGTAAGCTTTCCAGGTGGCTGGGTGTAGAAACACCAGGTCTGTCTTTGGAGAGGTACCAGTGGCTGAAATTTGAATTTTATTCTGTCCCCAGATTTTGTGTAGGCTTTTCTGTCTTTCACTAGGAAAACTTAACCACATAAATTAATGGTGTGTTAACACTATTCCCCTTCCGTTTTTATTGGAATGGTGGGATATTTTGGCTTTGTCATATACAGTTCAAGACTGAACATTTGAACATTCTATGCTACATGTGATTTGCAGTATTAAGTGAACTTGTTTTAAATATTGCTAGTAGGAACACCCTTCATGTGTGTATGTACACTGTACAAATGCAATGGAAAGAGCCTTCGAGATTGCAGTTTGGGACCTCTAAATGTCATCATGAATGGCAATAGGTCTGCAGGAATGTGTTTTACCTGCTGACATCAAGCCTGTTGACTCCTAGCTGACTTGGCACAGATTGTATAATATACATTTTAAGGATTATTAGCATAATTACAAATATTGAGGCTTCCAGAAGCTCTACTAGTTTTCTAAAATGTGATACAACTTTTCAGGAGGGCAAAGTTTTGCCTTTTTCTTGTGAGTGCTGATGAATAATTCTTAAGATCCAGTAGACTTAATGGCATTTGTATTCTTATAATCTTGGCTGTATTTAACAGCATAACCTGACTTTTGCAGATAAAAGTGGAATTTCTTGGTTAACATTTTTTAAAAAACCCAACCCTTGATTATGTAATCTGTTCGACAAACTGGAATTAATATGCCTTTCTGAAAATAAAATCTAATCAGAAAAAAGAAAGAGAGAGAGAGAGATGAGTGCCAAGAAGGTAGTAATAGAAAAGAGAACTCTTTTCATGGGACAATAGTTTTTCTTCATCCTCTCTAATGTGAATGTGGAAGAGATGTCTCCCTATCAAAGAAGATGGGAGATAAATGCCCAGAGGTATCAAGATATCTGGCAAGTGTGACTTTTCCAAAACCTGGCACTGTCAAGTTTCCATGCCTAAGAGCAGTGGATGGATCCTAGGGAAACCAGAATGACATAAATTAATGAAGTCGTCAAGCCCATGAAGTTGCCCTGCTACCCAATGGGAGCATGCCTGGAGTTGGCACTTAATACACAAGACTTCTTCCATTTCTGCAATGCACACTGTCACCTTTATTTCCAAAAACATCAGCCTAGCTTCCTGAACCCAGTCAATGAGGAAGAGAACAATGTAACTTACAAAAAGAAAAGGATGAGTACAAATGTCTGAAGAGTTTGGCAAAGGCTATTGGCACAGTTTCCACATGGTTACTATCTGGTGGCCCTTGTAAAAATAAGAACTACCATTGAAATTATTTGAACAGGGTGGGGTTTATTTTCTCTTGTTTTGCGGGAGAAAGTTGGATGGTAGTGAGTTCCATCCCGTTTCCATATATATGGTACTGTTTTACCTGAGTTAAAAATGAAATACCTCAAATTCATCCTAGCTCTTGCATTTTTTCCTTAGTGTTGGTATCACTATTAAAATTTAAATTTTCTAAATAAAACAGAGGCAGAGAAGCTTAACACATACAAACTCTTAACTTTATTGTGTGTCTCTTAATATTTCTTTTGGCCAAAAAAAAAAACAAAAAAAAACCAGAGGGAAGCTAGAATAATAAGGGAGATTGTTTCATTAACTATATAAATGTCTAACCAATAATCCTCCTCCTCAAACTCTACACACAAAAAATTAGAAGCTGGGTTGTGTACCCTTAGTATAAAAGAGCAGAAGATTCTTTTAAGGAGAAATAAATCAGCTTTAGAGAAAAGATATTCACATAAAAAAAAAAAAAAGAAAGAAAAGAAAAAAGAAAAAAAAATCCCGTGGTTCAAGGCCTTGAGTTAGTGATTAGCCCAGGTGTTAGCTAAGTTCCCTTAACTTCAACAGACACCTGCATTTTTAAATCTTGCCCGGGGAGAGACTACGCTTCCCAACAGCACAATCAGAGAGAAGCCCATGAAGTGTATTGTGGGAATTGTAGTCCTGGGTGACTCTTTTCTATCAGCCCTGGACTCACGCTCTCATTCCGGGATGGTTGAACCCAGGAGCTACCAATGAACTGGGGCCATGTCGGTGACGCCGTGGTCCAACCGGGAAAGCCGGTGTGGGAGTCTCGCGCACTGATTGGCCAATGAGTGACCCCAGGGGCGGGGAAGTGGTGGTGGGTGGGCGGGAAGACCGCGGCGATTGGACAAGGAGGCCGCGGCGGCAGGTGGGGATTGGCTGCGTTCTTGGGCAGAGAGGCCTGGGAAGGGGCGGAGGAAAGAGGCCGGAGCAGGAAGAGCAGCGGCGAGGCGGTGGCAGCTGAGTCGGTGGTGCCAGAGCGAAAGCGACAGCTCCAGGGGTTGGCAGCGGCCCCGAGAGCAGGATGCGGGTCCGGGTCGGGCTGACGCTGCTGCTGTGTGCAATGCTGCTGGGCTCGGCCTTGGCATCTTCAGGTCAGTATCCGCCCCCTCGGACTGGAGGCCAGGAGCCACCGCCCCCCCGGCCTGCATCCCGGGGCAGGGCCTTGGGAGCTCAAGCTAGGGACTTCACTCTTTCTGGTCACACCTTGCACTAGCCTGTCATTAGTGGGCTGTCATTCCTTGGGCTTCGGTTGACCAAAACGAGAGGGAGTGTTTAGGGAACTAGAGAAGGGAGGTAGAGAAGGGGCGGTCACCCTGCCCACACCTCTGTTCACTTAAACTTTCCAGGACTCCTTATCACGAATGAGGAATTGACTCCTTGGGAGTGAATTCCGACAGCTAGCTTCGATCCACAATGACATACGAGCCCTACTGGAGTTTCCTCAACTTTCATGTAGATTATGTGCTGCATCGGGTCTGAAACTGGATTTGGGAATTGTAATTTAAGTAATTGACACACCTGGGGCTGTCACTGGGCAGAGCCAGGTCCATCAAATCCAGGATGTTGACAGTGGTTTGCTTAGTACCTGAGATGGTTCCTGGTCTCTGTCTATTGAATAATGAAAACTTTTGATGTAATTGTGTCCACTCCCTCCTCCTTTTTAAGGAGTATTCTTGAAAAAGTGGTTTTTACCCCTGTCACAGTGTTTCTGAGTTGCCCCATTTTCTTGACAGTAATTTTATGATTTGTGAGAAAATCATGGTCCTTATAAGTTTAAAATGGATAGCAACTAGTTTTACCTTTTTATATAGATATAGAAATTTGTGTGCTTCGAATTGATTTTCCAATTAGGTGATTTATACTCTGGTTCTGAAAAGAATTACTTTTCTTTTTTAACAGTTTAATCTGTCTACATCTGAAAACTTCTATTTTGAGAGTGTTGGTAAAGAAACACTTAGTATTTCTAAGTTGGTAAAGAAACAATTAGTACAATAAAGCTTTTGAATTTTAATCAGTTTCTGATAACAAGACAGCTGTTCTGTGGCTTTAAATCTTTTTGGAACAAGGCAGGGTATAAATGTCAACTCTTTTTTTTCCAACAGAAAATTTCCCAGATGATTACTTGAATCCCCAAATTATCTGTCCTAGTTGTAAATCAACGCCATAACATCATTCTGCTTCTAAAATAAGATGCCTAAACCTAAAATTCTGTCCATAATGTGATCTGAAATATCATTTCAAAAGCAACAAGCATATACTAGGTACTTTACTGCCCACGTCATACTTTGAGGTCTGCTTACCCTCTCTCCTTTTAGTGATACTTTGCATTCATGACCAAATCTTTAAAACTACTTAACTCTTGAAGCACTGCTAGCAGTTATTTAATCAAAGAAAGTATGAAGTGAAACTCTTCAGTATCATGGGTAGAGTACCTGATGTACCATGGTTTACCTGCATCAGAATTGTTCTTAGGGGTTTGTTAAAAGTGTAATTTTAGATCTGGAACAGGTCAGGGTGTCTGTAGTTTAACAAGCTTTACAAGTGATTCTTTACACTAAACTGTGAGAACTATTGGTTAAAGAACATGATATATACCTCTCTGAATTCAGTTCTCCGAATATAAAGAAAATTAAAGCATACATTTTCCTATGTCTTCTTTTGACTAAATTTTTTATACTTGGAATTTCATGTTCGTGGCAATACTTGAAGTCATTTAATCAACAGTTGGGATTCTCAGTATATTATAATAGGAGACTATTAATACTGAAGTGTTAAGTCTTTGGGTTGTGTTGATGTAAGCAGAGGTCTAGGTTCAAGAATGTCTGCTGTGATTTCCATCTTAAATTGTTCAAAACATTTTTCTGGTAGAGGCAAAAATTTAACTAGAACTAAAACAATGTAGATGTACAGACAGAAAATAGAGGCCATCTTGTGTTCACATAAAGTGCAAATATCACTAAACACTTATGTGAGGTAAAGTTTTATAAAATGAGTACATGGATTTTCAGTTGACTTTTATTCATTAAATTGCTTATACGGGATGACAGCCTCATTTTTAGCTTAGATTTAAAGATTTGCCGTGATGTAAAAATCAAGTTTTGGTCATAATTTTGCATTGCCTTGAGGTTTGAATGTTAAAGGTTACCCAGGACAAGTTGCATTTATTACCAGGTAGAATATTATCAGCCAACAAAGGGAATCTTGATTCTATCACTGTTAGTAGCTGTTATCTAATATCTTCTTTTAGAGGCATGTAAAAAATGATACTTTTATTGGAAATGTGTTCTCTGCGAATAAGTAAATTAAAAGGAGATTAAAAAGATTTTTCCTTCATTTTCTTAAGATAATAGTGAAAAATGGTATAACTTTTCTCACTTAGAAATACATGTTGTCTTATTTTTGGCAGGAAGAGGCAAATGGTTTACTTTTCTTTCTTTATGCCAAACAATATTAGAGTCTTTTAAATTAGGTCTACTTCAAGTAATAGTTATATTAATATCATTTATTCAAAGGGTAGATTTCAGATCGCAGAAGATATTTAATTTCATTGTTCTTTTGTCCCTCAAAACGTTGTGAATCAGCAGGGCAGATGGTATTCCTTTTTAACACATTGAGAAAAAGGAGGCTGGGCCAGCCTGCTATATTGTACCTGTGTAAGATTAATGTGTAATGAGTCGGGTTTTGAACTCTGCTTTTCAGGACGTGGATTTGGAATAATTGAGAATTAAGAGTATCTTAGGATCTGCATAGATTTAATGACAAAGCAGAAGACGGGATGTCTCTCCAAACTCTTAAGGCTTTCTGTGTTTGAAGGTGTATCGGTGTAATTTACCTGACAAGTTGGAAAATGAATTTGTAATGATTACTTTTCCCTGAAAGAATATCCCTGGCACTTTGCAGTTTTGTTAGCTAATAAAAATGAAAATTAGTCTTTTCCAAAGGAAAGTGTACTACTACTAAAGTGTAATGCAAACCATTATATTTTGGATGTGATACTGTTGCATGAGAAATCCATCACTCCTCATTGAAATCCTTTTACATTTTTCTTGTTGTTTGATGTCTGTGTTGTTACAAAAGCATTACAGTTTTCTTTTTATTTATATGTTACTTTAGTGTCTTTAATCTTTACCTGACTATTACATATCAGAAGTTTCTAGGTTAAAGCAACTTCTTTTAAATGTGATATATGAATGTATATATCAATTTGAAAGAGAAAATAGCATATGCTTTAAGACTACCATCTGGAGTAGCTTCTCCCAGTTTAGTAAATGAGAAAGAGTTCTCTTATTTACCAGTAATCTTAGTATATATTCCTAGTTTGTGAAGAGAGGAAAGAGAGAGAGAGAGAAGCGTGATGCAATTCACATGAAATGACCCTGATGTCACAAATTCCCATGTCTCTTAGAGTTCAAAAACACAGTAATGCCTAACAGCTTGTAGTGTCTCAAATATACATGTCTTAAAATTTATTCATAGGCATCTATGAATAAATAGATGTCATTTGTTTCCACTTTACTGATTAACTACATATGTGACCTGCTGTGGCAAGGTACTAAATTTAGTGATTTGAGTTCCATCTAATCTAAAGTTTCAGTCTTTTAGGATATATATTTACGTATTTAATGTCTGCTCTTGATATATTAGTTAATGTTTGTGATTAATTTAATACATCCACCCATACAACTTCAATATGTAATAGAGATGAAGTTTTTTCCCTTTATCCCAAGATTTGCTGAGAGTGGAATTTGAACCGTATGTTAGAACTTGGGCTTTAGGTGATGCTTGTGAGGGAGTTTAACATGAAGGGTGATATTAATTAATTGACATCACTACCTAGGGGACTAATACATGCTCCCCACTCACCAGAAAGAAATGTATTTGGAAGATAATCTGAAAGCAGTGAATGTGAAAATAGCTATAGTTTAAGTTTGAATTGACAGCACTTTTGTATATGACAAAACCTCACTAAACCAGTAGACCGGGGTTTTTTTTTTTTTTTTTTTCAAGTATTCAAAAGAAATACTGTGAAATAGAGTGGTATGTTTTGTACATAATTTTGAGTTGGTTATACTTCTTAAAGTTAGCTTAGTACTATGATAATACAAATTCCAAAACATGTTTTTGTTATACTCTAAAGAGTTACAAGTTACAAATAATATTTAGGGTATGACTGGCCATATGAAGTAAAATAGCAACCGTTAACACCAAATTTTTAGTAAAAATTGCATGGTCTTATAGCATTTTTTTCTACTGGTTAATTTCTCATATAATTTATGGAGCAGGCAAAAGTAAAGCTCACTCCTAGACAAAATTGGGTAATTTTAAGGGTACCAATGAAACTTGGAGCTCATCTGACAGGTGTATGTTTTTAACTGGCAAGAACACAAAGATCAAACATTTGCATATGGATATTGGGTTGTCGAATGTGTTTATTTAAAAGCAGGAAAAAGAATAACAAGTGGCCAGAATAGAAGTAATAGCAAGAAAACACAGAATAATAGAATGATAAAGGGCTAATTCGCACTAAAATAAGCTGGTATAACTCCAGATTCTGAGCAGAGGAAAAGAATAGGTGGAATCCTGGACCACAAAATCAGAGATTTATTTTTATAAACTTAGTAACTCATTTTTAGTAGTAGACTATATATAGAATTGGGTGGTATCTGAAGTGTCTATTTTTGTGTGGTAGTTGTTGGTCTTCCTACCTGTGTAACAGATAAAGCTTAATGTCTTTCCTGGAGAAAGAGGAAAAACTATGCCCCCAACCCTTTTTTACCTTTTACTTAATCTTTTCTGAATAGTTGCTGAATACAACCAGTTTTAGATAATTCTAGATTTATTTATCCAGTGTCTTATTATTCTTTGTTGTACTTCGTACTTATCAAATGCTTTTTTTTTTTAAATAATAACAAGAAAGATGACTGACTTGTCTTAAAATTACAGATGAAGACAGTGGCCAGGACGAATCCTTAGAGTCCAAGGTATGTGCTAAAATTTGTATTGACCTGTATTTGATGCCTAGTTTAAAAGCTTGAATTATGTAGCTTAGAAAGGATATGAAACTTAAACCTTTTGAGCATTGGATTTTGAAAAAGAAAAGAAAAAGTTAGCTGATAACTGGTATTAATATTAGTTCTAGTTCTTCTGGAGGAAAAAATCATTGATCTATAGGGGAGAAAATAATAAATATTTCCATTAGGAGTGTTGATTATTAGGTTTAATTTCAACTTGAATGCGGGAGTGTGTATATATGTGGAGCCTAAAGGCAGTAACATTTTTACTATCCAATGAGATTGATTTTATTCCCCCCTTTTTTCTTTTTTTTTTTAGTTTTTAAGGTTTTTTAATTTTGAAGACTGAACCTCTGTCATTTGTTTCCACTTATGTCAATTTAAAAAAAAAAATCTATTGAGTTAATGCACTTAAAGTGGTTGGTTAAATGGATAAAGCTGATTATTACATATCTAAGGAGACCAATCAGTTATGATCTCCGATCTTTAGATTAGAAGGAATATAGATAAGAAACAGGAAGTTGTAATAGAGAGCTATCACAGGGAAAGTGTAAGGTATGTTGGGAGCATGTATGGTAAGAACCTAACCCAGACTCCAGTAATTAAGAAAGACTTCCTGGGAGAAGTAACATCTAAGTTGAAATTCAAAGAGACAAGTGTTGAAGACAAAATGACTATACATATGAAATTCAAAGAGACAAGTGTTGAAGACAAAATGACTATACATATACATGATCTTTCTCGCAATACAGTGTGCTAAATATCTCTCCTTTAGGGATGAGCAAATATGGCACATTACAGGAGCTAAAGGAGATATATCTGGATTATAAAAATAATGGTCAGATTAGGTTGGAGGGAGTTTGGGTACTATTGGTAACTAAAAGTACGTTCTATTCTCAGACTTCTTTGCCATCAGATGAGTCGGTAAAGGACCACAGCACAGCAGGCAGAGTAGTTGCTGGTCAGATATTTCTTGATTCAGAAGAATCAGAATTGCAATCACCTATTCAAGAAGAGGAAGACAGCCTCAGGGGCCAAGAAGGAGAGAGTGTCACCGAAGAAATCAGCTTTCTAGAATCTCCAAATTCAGAAAACAAGGATTATGAAGAAGCAACGAAAGTACGGAAACCAGGTAGTCTGGACATTTTCTTTGCTTTTGCCTGATTTAAGAAGGAGACAACTACAATTTTAAAGGTAGTGTAGAAAGATGCAGAAGTCTGGTTTTACTGATTATTAATCACATCTAATGTAGAGAATGTAGTTTTGCAGGATTTTCTAGATTTTTAATATATCAGAGTTATTTACTTAACAGATTTGACCCACATTAAGCCAAATTCAATAAAGTTACATCTGTATTGCATTGATATCCTAACATTCCTTTTTAGACTCCAGTATATAATAATCTGTCAGAGTAGTACACACAATAGAAACTCAGGCAGGATTGTCTAACAGGCTGCTTTGGTTATTTTCAGAATTGTGTTAGGATTTTTTCTGCAGTAACCTTTTCAGTCATCCTAGGTAATGCCATTTAGGTCCAGTTGAAGCTTACATAAACTGTAATCCTCTTCTAACTTTCACCTTCTTGACATCTTTTTTTTTTAACTTAAATTGTAAAACTTGAAACATGATCTTTCTCGCAATACAGTGTGCTAAATATCTCTCCTTTAAAGAATTAATTATTAATTTCCCCACTCTGTCCTGTCCCACCGACTTTATTTCATTTAGTTTGTTATTTCAAATATCACTGCAATACCCACTTATTCCATTATTAGCCACTTTCAGGAATTGGTCTAGATTTTACCTTTTAAAGATATATTCTTTATTATAAGTATTCCATATTCGTGTATAGAAAAACTAATAAACAAAATTAAGTACTTCAATCCCATCAACTAGAAATAACAGCAGTTTACATCATAGAGAATATTCTTTCAGGCTTTTTTCCTAAATGTGTGGTTTGAAGACTAAATTGGATCAAAACATGTATGCTGTTTTATATCATGGATTTCACACTTAATAGTTTATTTTGAAATTTTCCCATATCATTTAGTACTCTTTTATAACTTAATGGTTAATGGCTATAAAAAATTTTACATGTAAATATACTATAACTTAGAAATAGATTGTTTACAATGTTTTTGTTTGTTTTTTGCTGGGAGATCATTTTAGATATACCTGCACATATATGAAAATTCCCTGAAAATTGGTTCTTTTTTTTTTCTTTTTTTAATTTTCTCTACAGTGAATTAGTTCTTAAAAGTGAATTTGCTGGACTGAATATAAAATTTTAAAAGACTAGATATTGCTAAATTGTTCTTCAGAAAAGTAATTGTGTTTGCTTCCTTTGAAGCTACTTTTTTCCTGTACCTCTGCCAAGTGTATATTACCATTTTAAAATTTTGGCCAAATACTATAGTTTAGTTCATTCTTTTTCATTTTTTATCAGGGAGATGTCCAAGAGAGGGTGTAAAGGCCCTGCCTGGTACCCACCATCATGAGCTTCAACACTCTTGTTTCATCTTTACTACCCCACTTACTATTACTCTGTTATCTTTCCTAGAGTATTTTAAAGTAGATTCCACATATTATTTTACCTATGTATGTATATAGAAAAATAGCTTTTTTCAACAAAATCACAATAGTATTATAACACCCACAAAATTAGCTCTTAGACCTATATCACCCAATACCCGGATTCTGTTCAGTTTTCACAGTTTCAAAAGTCTTTGAGAATTGGTTTGTTGGAATCAGTATCGAGGCTTAGATCTTAAGTTCCTCTTAATCTGTAACAAGTCTTCCTCCCTAGTTTTTAAGTGTCTTTTGTTAAAGAAACAGTGACCTTTGTGCTATGTAACTTCCCACATTCGGAATCTAGCTGGTTGTATTCTTTTAATGTCCTTTAAACATGTCCCACTTTCTGCTGTTCTGTCTGTAAACTAGAAGTTAGTTAGCTCTAGAAGCTTGGGTAGAGTCAGTTCTATTTTTTTATTGAGAATATTTCATAGATAGTGTTTTGTATTTCCTGGGAGTGTTTTGTATCACATGGGAGGCATGTAGTATCGGATTGTCTCACTTCTAGTGATTAACCACTGAGGTTGGGTGGAGAACACCTGCCTGATGCAGCCATTTAAAAGTTCCTCGCTGACCTTCCACCTAGAGGTTTTGGCAACGATTTTGTTGTCTAGATCCATTATTTCATTAGGCGTGGCAAAATGATGGTTTTCGAATTTATCATTTCTCCTGCATTTGTTACCTGGGATTCTTTTAAAAAGAGGAACTTTTCCTCATCAACTATTTGCTTACTCTGAAATATATTCCATACAGGGGAAGCAGGATAAATGCTTGATTCTTTCCCTTGAAATATTTTCAAATAATAATTTGGTGCCTTAGCAACCTCCAGAGGAGACCAGTGAATGTGTTTTTGTTTGTTTGTTTTGCTTTGCTTTTAGCATCATTACAAATCCATGGGTTTTATATATTTATGCTTCACTCTATTGCAGTCATTCTTTTTTATTGCTCACATTATCCCACTTTGGGCCATTGAGAGTCCTTTTAAGTTCATTCTTTTGTTCTTTTGACTAATTGTAGGTGACTTTTAAAATTCTTTCTTTTCAGGCAGGGCAAGATGTCCAAAATTCATCTTACACATTTCCTGATCCAGAAATTAATCTCAGCCATTTCTCCAAGGGACCCAGATTCCTTTTAGTGGGAAATTGTATTTAGATGCTACAGCCTGGGAACCCGGGATATGCATTGCAGCTGAGTTGTCATTATTAATAGGCCTTTTTGAGTGGATAGGGTTCAGACATGTATCATTCATACCAATTCTTCCAGTTCAAATTAAATGTTACAGGCGGGATAACACAAAGGGTCAGATTGGCAAATTGAACTCGCAGGAATCAGATTATACTCATTATCAAACGTGACTAATATTTTCAAAGAT